TTCGATAACTTCATGCTCCCAAGAACTTAAAAATAAGTCTTGCTTTAGTATAATATATAATAATTAGAAAAAGGAAATAACTACAGTTAACCGGGGAGGAATTCCTCCCTGTATCACATGATTCAATGATCGTTGAAATAAACTAGTAACATGAGTTACACAATTTATGCTGGGAACGTCATTGTATATTATAATAAATGATAATTAACTACAAACTTTGTGCAACTTGATCTTTAATTATGCGATGTTATAAATAAAAGAAAATAACAAAACGAAAACTTTTTTTTATTTTTTACGTTGTTAGGTAGATAGAGAGCCCAAATAAATTTGATAGATATTTTTCGTATAATTTATTCTTGAAAGTATTGTGCGTGACAGTTACGTGACAGTTACGTTAACGTTGCCTATATACCTTTTTCTCTATGAACCAGCAAAGTGAGAACCGCAGTTACGATTTTCCTGCCTCTTTATAACTTGGAAATAAAGCTTAACAATTATTAGATAAAGTACTTCTGCTATTTTTATAAATTAAAGTTATTAAAAGCACGCGTCAGTTAAAATTTTGTTATAATTAGGCAAAGTTAGAATTACATTATAGCTTAGCCGCCACTTTAAAGCTTAGTAATAAAATCTAACGATAGCTCAATAAGGTATTCTTGTGTGATTATTTTTAAGTTCTTGGGAGCATGAAGTTATCGAAATTTATGTAACAGTTAAACTTTTTCTTTTTATTATAAATAAAATTTAGATCGCGTTTTCAGTATCTTAGTTTGGAAACAGCGCTTAGCAATAATTTGAAAAGGTATTTCACGTGGCTATTCTTAAAAGCATATTGGTTGTAAATTATGTAACAGTTACTTAAAGTACTTTTTATTCATATATATAAGCAACGTTAGACAACGGTACAATTTCCCTGCCTTTTGGTAGATAGATTCTAATGTAACAATAGTCCGATAAAGGTATTTATTCTCATGTGATCTATACTTAAGTATTTTTTTTTTTGAAATGATATAAATGAAGCTAGAATTATGATACCAGTTTTCTCCTCTTTTTTTGGTTTGGTGAATAGGTTCTAACAGTAATTCGACATTAAGTTGTGAAAACCCATATAAAGTTACTTAAGTATTTTTTTTTGAAACTATATAAGGGTCGTTAGAATCACGATTACGATCTCTTCGGCTCTGCAATTTTGAGAACAATTCAGTAAAGGTATTTTTATATAGCTTATATTGAAAATATATAAGTCATTGAAACTACATTACATTTGCTCATTTGATCTGATTTTTTTGAAATTATATAAGCGATATTAGGATCACAGTTACAATTTCTTTATCACTTCGTAGTTTAGTGAGTAACTCCAAATGAGATTTTAGCAAAGGTATTTTTACATGATTTATTCTTGACATAAGTTATTAAAAACTATATTACATTGGATCATTTGCTCAAAACAATTTTTTTTTGAAATTATATAAGTGAAGGTTATAATTGTTTTGCCTTTTTGCAGTTTGGTTAGTAAAAGAACGATGTTAGAACCACGATTCTGATTTTTTCGTCACTTTATAGTAAAGATATCTTTTTACATAATTGATTCTTGAATACAATTGTTGAAAATTATATTATATTTATTTATTATTTAATTTATTTATTTTTATTTTTTTTTTACAGAATGGCAAAATTAGAGTTTAAAGCCACAGCCGCAATTTTTCTGGTTTTAGAATGTTGAACATATATACATAATAGATATACTAGAGGTAGATGAAATCGGTGAAGGAAGTAATCCTAGTTCTTTAAGAAATGATGAGCAGGTAGATTTCTCTTCTAAGAATGAGTCATCTTTCATGAACTTACTTGATGAGTCAGAGGAAGTTGAAATATTTGATGATTCTTCTGATGAAAATGATGAATCGGCATTGAAAATTTATTGTGGTCAAACTTTTCAGACATGGAATAATGCTGAAGTGTTTTTAAAAAATTATAGATTGGAGCAAGGTTTCAGCATTCAGAAAAAATGTACTGAATCTTTTCTTGAGAATGGTATACAAATAGTATGCAAAATCAGCTGGGAATGTAGTTGCGCGGGTAAATATAAACCCAAAAAGACCTTAAATCCAGAAGTTCAGCGTGATCGTAAATCCCAATGCAATGAATGTGAATGGCGGGTCAATGGGAACATGCCAAAGTCATCATCAATTATAACATTTATGACTGTTGTAGATTCACACAATCATCCGATATCACCAGCACCCTCAACCACAATTGCAAGTTATCGTAAGTTGGATGAAGAGATGTTAGAATTTATTAATTTTTGTATAATACATGATACGACTGGAGCACGGAATATAGGGCAACTTTTAAGGGGTAAATTTCTGGGACGGAAAATACATCAAAAAAATTTATACAATGCAATTCAGTGTGCTAAAAAAAAGCTTTCATATAGAAATGAATTAGATGCGTTAAATCTTTTGCTACATTTATATAGTCTTAAAACTAGTGATCCTGGATGGTTTGTTGAAGCTAGATTTGATGGTCCTGAACGAAGATTATGTAGTCTTATTTGGCTTTCTCCAGAACAGCGGTGTATTTGGACAAGATTTCACGATATTATATTTTTTAATACCACATCACGCACTAACAAGTATAACATAGTTGCATGTTTTTTTGTAGCCATCGACAATCATAACCGTACTTGTTTAGTTGCCGCTGCTTTATTAGAAGATGAAACTGAGGATAGTTTCGTCTGGGTACTTCGCATGTTAAATAAATGTACTGATAATCTGAAGCCGTAAGTGGTTTATACTGATTCTGATCTGGCAATGTTAAATGCTATTATGGCAGAATTTCCAAAGTCTTTGCATTGTTTATATTTGTTTCATGTCGGTCTTAATTTAAAGAAAAATTTAAGAAACAAACTGGGCACAGTTCAATTTAATGAGTTCCGTAAAGATTTTTATACCTGTTGAAATACAATGGTTGTTAATATTTTTGAAAGTCGATTTGAATCTCTCAAATCGAAATATATAGTTGCCACAAATTATATTAAATGCCAACTTGAACCTTCTAAAAAAAAGTGGGCAATATGTTACATCAACAATCAATTTACAGCAGGATCAAATAGTACGCAGAGAGTTGAAGGCTTTAATAAAAAAATACATGATAGTATTAAAGCGAACTCTTCTTTAATGACCCTTGTTAAGGAAATTCAGGATATGCTTGACAAAGAAGCTGAATTTGCTTATATAGAAGAATATAAACATCAAATACTAACGGTTGGACTTGCAACTATACCAAAGACCCTTTTTAAATCTTTGGATACTATTGTGAGTAAATATCTTATGGATTCAATATCAGTACATGTTTGTAAACAGATGCAAGAGTATTTTTTTTACGATGCTTATAAGCTTGATCATAATGACTGGAACTCCATTAAAAAGATAGACAATTAGTTTTTATTTTACCTTTTTTTTACCTTTTTTTTTCTTTACTTTTATTTTATTTTCAGTTTTTTTTTTTTAACTTTTTTCTTATATGCCGCTAGCATACTTTATTAATATTGTTCCGTTTAAATGCTATAGTATACTAATTTTTTTATTTTTATCTTAGATACACTTAGATGATAATGTAAATGACGAAGCACGTGAAGATGATTATGAACTCGCGCAAAGTTTATTAACTGATATTTTGGAGACAATTGAAACTTCAGATATTCTTGAGATTTGGCGTCTTACCTTTTCATACAGCACCAAATCTCAATTTATTGTATTAATTTCAGATGGTTCACACTGATGTACTTGCAATCTGTTGGTTACACATGGTTATCTGTATCGTCATTTTTACAAGGTTCTCTGGACTTCTCCATGCACCCAATGGCATATTGGTCTTATTTCAAGACGGTGGTATAGAGACAATAAGATTGGTGATGACCAAGACATTTTAAAGCAACATAATCCTATTTCGCTATGTGTGGAATTACCTCTCAATGGTTACATTACTACTAATTACACATTCAATCTTGAACATATAATGAAATTTTGGGGAGGTGACTTATATACACCGGCTCTTCAAAATGTTAATAATGCTCGATCAAGATATGGTTATATATACGGATTAATGAAAAAAACCATTGATGTTGGCATTAATACCAATTCATATGACGAACTAATTGGAATGTGCCAGCAATTTCTTTCCAACAAGCAATCAAATAATGATGATCATGCTAAAGAGATCCTGATTACCAATCCTATGATTTCTCCTCGAAAAGGAAGACCATCTGGTAGAGCAAAAAGCTCAATAGAACTTCAAGAATTACAAACAAGAAAACATCGGTGCTTGTCAAATAATGATGATAGCATTCAATTACCTGCTAATAATGATAATAAGAATCTGCAATCTAGTAAACCAATTCATGATAATAGAAGGCGATGTCAAAGATGCGGACAAAAAGGTCATAATCGGGCTATCTGTAAAGCAGAAAATGTGTAAATTAATATGCAACTCATGTATTACAAATCAATTGATAATACTATAGTTTAGAATTTGTTTGTTTAATTTGTTTGCATATAATGTATTTAGCTAGACTATGATATTAACTTGTTATTATAGTTGATTTTCAATGTTTTCTATTGTTTTAATTGCAGATTAGTGGCTATAGAAGCAATTTTTTATTTGAATGTTTAATTTACTAACTGATGCTAATAACAATAGCAGGTTCAATATCACATATAATAGTTATATATATGCTACTAATTGACATTCTATATCAGTCGTTCTTTTTATATTAGAAAACAGATTGTTACAACTGTCAAGAAGGCACATAGTGTATATATATATAATGTTTTGAATGACATAGTATCACTATTAAAATTATTATTGTTGTGCCATCTTATTTGTGAGGTAAGCAACCTTTTTGTTATGAACTCAATTCTTGGCTTTTATATCTTTATAACTTATTTTTCCAATTGCTAATACTTTGAAACGATCGCATTTAACTATTCCCCATGTCCTCAATATGCTATTACTCTGATTTAACATTATATAATTTTTTTCCCATAATAAGGTTTTTATGTAACTATTAGCTTAGTATGTAGTACAAAGTTTGCTCGATAATAGAAATATCAGCATAGAAGTTTGATATTTAAGGGTATATAGATGATAATTCATAATATTTATTACAATATTGTTAAATAAATTACATAGTTCTAACTTTTAGTGTTTTTAGGGCTCTGCAAGTGCTGATACACGTACTGCCAGCACATGTACTGCATATTAAAACATAGTGCCTATGCCTTGCACTAGGAATGTTAAATTACATAGTTTGATCTGGATCATAAGATCAAAAATTGACAATCCTTTATTTAATTTCCATAGTTCCCATAACAAGAATAAATTAATTTGATCTTAAATAGGACTAGCAGATCGATTTAACATTCCTACCTGGCACTGTTTTAATAGGGTGCATGTCGCATTTGCCGAGCCCAAATTGTTTTTAGGTTTGCATTTCTTCTAAGCAATTTTGTACTGCTTATCCATTTGTAGAAGTTTTTAGATTTAATGGATATTTGTTTCAAATCATCAATGCACCTTATTTGATTAGCATTATTTTGGATTGTCTATAAAAAAACAAGCAACGAATTTATACTATGACATGGTTTACACTTGAACTTGTTATTCAAAAAATAATTTACTGATAATAATTTAAAAATGAGTTACAGAAATAAAAAGCTTGTAAACTATCGTTTTATAAACTTTTATTCTTGCTTTATTATTTTATTGAATTTTAGAGACGATTTCAATATTGAAACTATTTATATTATACGTTTACATGATTGCGCTAGTAGGTTCGAATCGGTCACGTGACACCAGAGGAGGAATTCCCCCCCCCCCGGTTAAAATTAGCAATACTCTTTAATTTAATTCTTTTTTTTTTTATTAATTTTATTTATTTAATTTATTTGTTTTTTAATTAATAACTTATTTATTAAATTATTTTGATTTTTTTCATTTTAATTTATATTTTTAGATTTTTTTGCTTAATACTAAAGGTCATTCATATTTGCAGAATGTGTAGGCATTATAAAATACTATAAGCTAATAATACTAACAATATATATATGATTGTTTTTAATATAATAAAAATGTTTGCATATTTCAATAAAGATGAGTTTAGCTTTTTGAAAATATAGTGAAATAAATAATTAGCAAGAATGAGGTTTATACATTTAAGAAATATAATGAAATAGATGATATTGGCTTTATATTCATATTTTAAACTAAAAAACAGAAACAATTAATGAAGTTTACAAGAGTAGTGTGTTTAGAAAAACTATACAAAACAAATCATCACAGATATCATTTATTTTCACTTGTCATACACTATTCAGTAGTAGGAAATAGATACTTAGTCACATTCTTAATAAGTGAGTTTAAACTAACATTGATGTTAAAAGAGTAATTTAATTTTTTGAAACATGAAAGTAAAAGATAGAGACCAGATATTTTTATAACCAATGATATTAGAGAAGAAATAAAAGCATCTCAAGACAGTTTTCCAGATTGCTCTATGTTTTTATATTATTTTTATATGCTATGGTCTTAGCATAGAAAACTTTACTATAGATATGGTATAAATAATAATCTATAAAAAGAAGCTGTTTGGAATGGTCTCTGGCAATTACTAAAGACAGAAGGTTAGAATGATGCAAAAGCTTAAGCACAAATAGTGAAAGCAATTAATCAATAAAGAAAGATGGATAATGAAATAAAATAATTTTATAGATTACTTTAGATATTTGTAGAAGCCAAAACATGAGCTGTAAATGATTTATATAAAAGAGGTTGCTAGAGATATGATGAATATAAATAATTTAATAAATCATTTTATCACAAGCTAAAGTATACTTATATGAGAGGGTGATCAGTATGAATTAAAATTTATTAAAATTATTGTTATTAATTGTTTAAATAATTTAATTAATTAAATGTAGTAATATTAATTGATTTAATGTTAGTCAATTTAGTCGACTTAGCCGGCTAAGTTAGCCGATTTTTTAAAAAACCGGCTTAGTCGACTCCAATATAGAAATAGAAATTATTCTACAAATTACGCATTTAATATATAATAATAAACACATAAGCTCAAATTTAGAAAGTTAATTTGTTATATATACAGATTTTCTAAAGTATGATAATCTTGATTTTGATTTATCAAAAATTTAAATTACTAACATAATGCTAACAGGTTTAAACCAACTATTCAAAAAGCTGTGCAAACTATTCAAAATACTGGACTATTAAAATTTTGCATTGTACTATCTTAGAACCAATACATATGTATGTATGTATATATAATGTGTAGCTTTATTTAGATATATTAATATTAAGACTAGATATAAATAGTTAATATCCATCATATATGAATCGGAAAATCATAAATTAAAAAATCATTTTTTTCAAATAACCCAGCCCACTATAAAGATGCACAGATGTTAGTTATTTTCAAAAAGGTGGAGAAATAATTTCTATATATATACCTATTTAAAGAATCAAAGAATTTAGAATTCTAATTAATAAAATGAAGAAACCAATTGCAGTGGGCTTTGAAAACTGGAAATTTGGAAAATATCATAAATTTTCCATAATATAAGTAATTTTAACTTTCTGAAAAATAGCTATAAGCAAACTTAAAATACTATATATTTGCTAAATCTTTGATTTCTAAATCACTTTCACTTATAAAAATAAAATACAACTCTTTTCGACGATCCTCTGGTCAACAACAACAAAAACTAAACTATAGCAAAATGTATAGAAAAGCGACAAAGTGGATACTAAAACTTGGTTCTATAAATAGGAACAGCTTGTTGTCGACAAAGTCTAAGCTGTCTAGACGTGAAATACCAAAGAGCAGATGCCAAAAAGAACAGATGGTTTTCTTTGGGGTCAAGTTTTCTTTCTGGCAGACTTTTCAAAGTATTCGGCATCCAAGCCAGAAGGTTTATTCTGGGAACAAGTTTGTAGAAGTAGCCAAAAGTGCACTCCTAAGTGGTAGAAATGGAGAAGCTGGACTATACAACTATAACTCTTACAAGAAGAACCTCACATACTTTCGTTGGCCCACCACTTTTTTTTCAAAGAAATTTTTGTAAAAAGTGGGCGTCTTAGCTTATTCTCTCCAAATGATCAACATCATATGTACCAAACAAGTCGGCATTGTTTATCTCCCAAATCAGAATGTAACAACAAACACATATATACATGTGCCTCAAATGCAATGGATATCCGTACAAACAATGCTTCGAGACTCTGTTCCGACCTCTCTACCTTAAGCCGGTCGATGAAGTTTTTCCTATCGAGTTTTTACTTTTGCATACTAGTTTAGAGAAAAATAGAAGTAGAGACTAATTTGTCTAGTCAGTATGTAATTTTTCAAAGCCACCCACAGGCTGATAACCATAACATTAAGATTAACAAATTTCTGTTTGTTTTTTTTTTTTTTCGATATTCCTTTACACCTTTTTTTTCATATTTGTATTCTTTTACCGTATTCCCCTATACCTTTGTGTTTTTTTTTTAGTTTGTTTGTTTTATTTTTTGATTTTGCTTCTTGATGAGCAAATAGCCACCAGCTGATGAACAACGGGAAAAAAGTCCTTAGTGAGTTAAGGACCCTGAGGAAGGCCAAGAGCTACTGAGGCAGGTCACACCTGGTGTATAAAATCATGTGGGTGAGTTCTTCGTTTGGTTGGATTTACTTTAGTTAGAGATAAATTACTTGTAATTTTGAATAACTTGATCCCAAATAAACAAGGACAAGATAGCTGAATTAAAAAAGTAAATCACTTTCGCTTATAAGTATTTTGAATAAATTATGCAATCAATAAGATATAAAATAATAAATTATTCTGAGTAAAAATTAGGGTAATATAGAAAATATTTATTATTTTTTTATATAAAACATTATCTTAAATCATGTTAAAATTTGTATATTTGGTTATTAACATGTGAATTTTATATAAACTAAAAAATAATTTCCTTTAAACATGCCAAATTCCAAACTTTACTCTTATCTTCGTAATATTAAATATAGATATTGATGTAATCAAAAGCTAGCCTAAAAAGTAGTATAATTAAAGCCATATGTGAAAATAAGATAATAAAAAAGAAGTAAATAAAAGAAATTCGAATACATAGCCTCAAAGAATTGAAGATAGCTCATTGATTAAGATGAGATAGACTCTTTTTTTTAATAAAAAAAGTGTTTAAATAGAGCAATTATATATTCAAAAATTAAGATTTGTAATAATGTAGTAACAATTTTTTATCAATTTGATTTAAACCTCTTTAATCGTAATATCTTTTAGATGGCAAAACAAACTTCTTTAGACAGTTTTTTATCATATAAAGATACTATAACTGATGAAAGTTCTAATCCAGAGGAATCAAATAATAATAATTCTAGCTTGGAAGAGTTGTATAATGATTACTTCGATGAGTTTAATAGTGATGATATGATTCAAGAAAATTATGAAAGTTCAACAAAAGCATTATCATCCTCTATGGCTACTGTTTCTTTACAAATACCTGCAAAAAGAAAAAAAGTAGTACCCATTTATAGAAAAAGTAGATCAAACAAAAGCTGGATATAGAGATATACAAAAAAAGATAAAATCACAAAGGTTAAATGCTATGATATTGATATAGATAATGGTAATGGTATTTTAGAAAAATGTGCAACTGTATTCAAATCTAGTACTGCAGTTAGCAATATTGCCTCACATCTGTGTACAGTACACAGAATTTATAAAGATAAAAAACTTGATACACCTGCAACAACTTTGGTTGAAAGCACTACACAATCATATACAATTAATTCTATATTTGAAAATATCTAACCATTTTCTGAAGCAAAACAAGTTCATGCTACTTATCGTTTAGTATCTTGGTTAGTTGAATCAATAATGCCTTTAAACTGTATCAACCATGATCGGTTTAGAGATTTTTGTTATGAAGTTTGTCCTCGTTTTAAAGTTCCCTGCACAAATACTATTAAAAATAAAATTGCAGAGTCAGTGATATATACACGATCAAATTTATAAAAATTAATAAATGAAACTATGATATCTGTGTGTATTACGACAGACCTGTAGACACATAATCATGTTTTATTTATAAGTGTAACTTCTCACTGGCTTACAGAGGATTTTACTATGCACCAGACATTAATTACAATTAAGCATTTTGAATATCCTCATACGGGTGACCGTATTAAGGATTTTTTATATAAAATCCTTGCTAATTGGAATATAATCGATAAATTAAATACTGCAACTACAGATAATGCTGCATCTATGGTTAAAGCAATAAGGCAACTTGGAGTTACTCATTTGGGATATGTGGCATATTCTATTCATCTTGCTATTACAGATGGATTAAAAAAAGATATTAGCTTAATTAATAAAACAAAAAAAATAAATAATTTTTTAGTTAATCATAATAAGTATAGATCTAGATTCTATAAAATTTAAACTGAAATAATCAAAAAAAAAAATTTATCTTCAAATTCAACAAATCAATCTATAACCCTATTGGAGCCTATTTCTATTACACATTAGAACTTTACTTTTCTCCTTCTCTAAAGAATTTTAGATCTTCATGAAACAATTGTAGCATTGGCTGATAATTTGATAAAAGATCCTGATAGAGTAATTCGATTAGATGGTAATAAGTTAAAGGAAGAAATGATTTCAAATAAAGACTGAGAAGGGTTGGCTGAATTATGTAACCTTCTTCACCCTTTTGCTTGAGCATCTGTTTACCTTGGCGGCAATTAATATCCAACATTAGGAACAGTATATCCTACTATACAATGTCTTTTTAAGCACCTTAATCAAATTAAAAATGAAATTACACATCCATCTGTTATTGAAATACATAGTTATATTTATGAATCAATGACAAACTATTGGGAAGACCCTAATATGATTGGGTAGTTTGCTATGTTTTTAGATCCTCGTTTTAAATCACTATCAGGTGCACCACCTAATAAGCGAGATGAAATAATAAATGAGTTATGAACAAAAATTAATTATATTACTGAAGACTTGTCAAATACAATTAATTTACCTTCAGTATCTTTTAGGGACGTGTCATTTATCACCTGATTTTTTAGGGGGGGTCTGGGCAAAAATCAGGTTACACAATATAATATATATAATATATATAATATATAATTATATATA